AAAGTGAAACAGGAATTTTAAATTGTGAAACATCACCAACAGAGATGAGTGACTACTTCACTGGACTCACAAGCATGAGCAGATTTTTCAAGATTTCATTAACAATGTTCCCTTGTAAAGACAGGAGAACATTTTCTGCTGAGCCTCCCAGAGAACAGAAAGGCGAGATTTTATTATCATTAGTCCTGCATAACTGCCCTAAACCCCAAAGGACAAAAGATTTTAGTCTTGCCATACTGTGAGTACCAGATTCATCAGATACAAACACGGGATAAGGAAGTCCTACCACTTTCATTGTTTGTACAGTTCTAACATCAAATAGTACCTGAAGGACTTCCATTCTAAAGTGGTAACAAAAGGAATGGAGGTGGGGATAGAACAAGCTGAAAGAATGTGACTTACAGGAAAAGTAAGTCAACAATAAGAGTTTTATTTCATTCACTTTTGAAGGGCATTTACATTACAGTCACTGTAGTAAGACATGGAGGAGTTACTGATTCAAGCACAATTGCTACAAGAAGTGAAGAGTGCTAAGTCAGTATGAATAATGTTTACTCTAAAAACAAAGCACAGAGAAAGTTAAATGCTGCTGAACGCTGAGAGTGTTCCACAGAAGCTGGTTTATTAATAAGTAGGTAATTAAAACCGTCCCCCTTGGCATGAATTTCAATTGATTCATTTTGCAATGCCTTCCCTGAACCTCACTCCTTTTGCCAAGAGATAGTTGAGTTGGGGTCCAATATTGCCTGCCACAATTTATCAAAAATAATTAGCTGCAGGTCCCTGAAGACCTCCAATGCACAACAAAGAGACAAGATTCTCCTTTGAAAACAGTAGGGAAGTTAAAAGTTGTAATTGAACACCCTTCATTTTCCCCCCTGTTTGAACTGAAGTGATTGCTCAAAAAGAGTTCAGGAGGAAGTGCTGAGAAGACATTTAGAATCAGGTCACAAGCACTCCTGCTCCATCAGCTGATCAAGCAGCATTTTATTATCAAGAACAGGTTTAAAACCAACCATACCTCAACCTTCAAGGCTTATACTCACAGGGTCTGATCAACACAGGAGCATCTTGAAAAATAATGACGTCTGGAATGCCCGGATTTTAATTTAACAGCCTGCTTTTAAAGAGTAGTTAATTAGATAATTTAAAAAATATTTATTAAACTAGGATAGTAGAGGGGTGAGACCTGCCTGACTGTCCTTGTTAAAACAAGAAACAAACTGAAAGAAATCAGGAACCACCTGCAAGATCTAGATTTTCCCAGAATAGCACATTGTAGTCACTCAGCCACACCACAGGCTTTGTTTCTTCAGTTGTCCCGTAGCTGAAGTACAGTCCTGTCTCAGATTAACATAACAGATACTCAAGTGCCAAATATTTGTGCAACTGAGAAATAATGCTTTAAAGAAGTGGATTTGCAAGAAATCAGTAGTGAGAGGGGCCTATACAGCAAGAACAATGTGTCCTTATGGTGGTTTCAGTGACTTTATGGCTGGAAGACATAATTGTCAATAAAGCCTCCATCTTCCGTGACACTGAACTCCAGGCTCACCACAGTATTCCCTGACACAAATACTCTCTTCTCAAAGAAATTTGATTCTTTGTATCAAATTACATGGCAACTCTGTCACAAGCTATGTGAGGCAAATGAAAGATAGGTTCCTTCAGCCAGCCTTCCCCTACTTTTCAGTTTAACTGCATATCCTCCATTTCCTATGTAGCAGAAGAAGAAAAACAATCATTTGTGCCTTGCCTCCCCTCCCCTCCTCATTATTTCTCATATGAAGATCTATCTCCACGTTCCTAATAATTCTTCATTTTAACAATGCAGCTAACATTGTGTGTCCTTACCTATTTTGAACAATCAAGTCACAAAGAGACATTTTTTTTCTACACGTGGTTCTTAGGCTTCCCGAGATACTTTACTTTCTGGGGGAAAAAAACACAACCCAGTATGCAGGGCATAACTTTTCATGTAAAAGTCTGCATTGGATGTCCAGGTCTGTGTGTGTGTGTGTGTGTGTGTGTTCCCTGATATATACAATAAGCCATCTCTACTTGCTGAAATTTTCCTTAGACCACGTGCAACTGCCTTCCCTCTCACTGCATTAGGAAGAAAACTTAATGGGAGGTGGGGGACACACATCACACTTGCATGAAACACACCTCTCTAGACATTCCAACACAGAGCAGCGCACAACTGGTGCTGCCTCTGACCACACACATTTACAGCAAATGATTTAGAAATCTTGGTATTTCTATCACAAAACTGCCATCCTTCTCCAGCTGATAGCAACACAACCTGTTGCTACCACACAGTAACAGGAAAGCTATTTCCTCAAGCCAGAAATTATTTTTATACCAGAAAATCTATTTACAAGAAGCTGACAAGACTTTCTCACTTTCTTGCCTGTTAACGCATTTCCACAACTAAAAAAAAATCTCCTCAGAAATCAGCTGGTCCTTGGAAATCCAATACCAGTTCAACTTTTACTATGAACCAAGAAAATGAAACTGATGCAAACGATAACCATCGAGAGATGCTTCTTGAGAAAAACAAGTGGTAACACTCAGTGATGGGAACTGCACCTAATTCACTGTTCACCGTGGAATCTCTGTGCCGAAAGGAAAGTAACATAACGTAAGTAAACATCTGTGGTTTTCCTTCTCGGTTATCACAGTCCCTCGACTTCAGGCTGCGTTACTGTAACAGAGCCTACATGGAATCCTGAAGGTCACGCTGAAATTTCGGCTGGTGCAGCATGTTTATACAATGATCTTTCACAACAGGGCCATATTATATCTTTATTTCTGTGTGAGAATGGTTTCATATTCGTTACCAAGTGCAGTTCAGGGCATTAACTTCAAATTACAAATTCCCCTATGGCTTATCTCTCATGTACTTTGAGACACATTGTTTTTCCTGGCCTAACAGCCAGTAATACTTAGGATGGTCCAGCACACAACCACCTGATTTACTGGGTGTGGGAAGAACCACCAAAAAACCACACAGATTTTCATCTGCAAAATGATTCAGTGGGGAAGAGAATTTTAAACAATGAGCAGGCTCTGCAAAAAATTAAAAAGTTTTATAAAGGTCACCTACTTAAAGATGCCTCATAGTGGCTGCTGCATCACTATTTTGAGATGCTTGGGAAGTTTGGGAGAATAAATGCAGGTGAGTTCTTTCCCTCTAGTCCAGCTTCACACTTTATATTGTTTGAAAGCTACGATTATGCAAGTTCTTTCAAATGGATGAAACATTTTTTCCCAGGTATCCAGCATGTAAACTATAATTCTTGGTGACGAAATAAAATAAAAACATTAATTTTCATTCCTATCATTACATATTCCAGACTGGGAAAGGTCAATTCCCTCAGTATCATCAAATACCCTTTTACAGTACTGGTTAGTTATGAGATATAGACTCTAATTAAATGGGATGTTAGTCTTTGCCATCATTATCACAGGTAACCACCATCAGCATCACCCACAACCTACAAACCAGCATTTTTGTAAGTTTGTACAAAATGCTGTTTTTTACGTAAAAAATTAAGTCACTATTTTAACAAACACTCTCATTGAATCTCAGCTTCTGTGATGCTTAATTCAACAAGATTGATAATGGCTTCCACCCAGACTGCTGGTGAATCACTGGTATCACAGCAGAAGTTTCCAAAAGCAATCCTGTTCTGTTCATCTGCTTTAGCAGGAACACTTTTATATAATAATACACAAGTCTCAAGATGCCCCTAAATTAAACCTTGCCTTATTGATGTCTACAACTTCCAGATTCATACATTCATCTGTTCACTGGAACACCGGTTTTTTAAATTATCTGCGTACAATCATCTCATTGTAAATTTATAAAATATTTTGCTTTGAACTAAGCTAGTCTGGATACAGAGCTGATAAAAAACCCACAAAAACAAACAAACCACCAGAAACCACACAAGTTACTTCCCACTCATCTCCATCAAGGCTCCTGCTGCTCACAGGTGATTGACAAGCTCACCACTCAAGTTTCTGGTTGTCAAAACAGACTGTACTGATGGTAACTGTGTTTCTAAATTTCCCTCCAAGCAGCCTGTCAAGCTGTCTGCTTTGACAGACCCTTTTCTGGGACAGGAAGGCAAAGCCATAAGCTATCGCTGGGAAAAGAAAAGGTGCCTGATAACGTCTGCTTCTATTTATGTTAGTGGAAGCCATAATTTCATATCAGCACTGAGTGTTAATGCACTGAAGAAAGCCATGGTGCTCCGGGTAAAGCTTAGAAACTGTCAATAAGGTACACACTGCACCTGGAATGTGGGTTATTTATGCAGCTATGAAGTCTCTTATTAGTTCCACTGACTTCCAACACAGCAATACAGACATTTATAGCTGATAAAATTAATGCCCTCCATATCCTTATAAGGCTGAATAGGGTAAAAAAAGGTACATTTAGGATCACATTAATTTCTGCTTCATAGTACTGCTGTGTTATCTAACACCTCTGTGGCTATATGATGTGAATAAAATATAAATGGTGAAGTTAACAATTGCATTTCTCTTCCAGCAGAGTCATTAGACAACAGCATTGCTAAACCAGTTACAATGATTAAAGCAGCTCAGCCACAGCCCAGGTTACTTTGAACTTTTTAATAATTTTTGTAAATTTTTCAATTTTTTTTACCCACTTCAGCCATTTTTCAATACGGCAAAAACATCCAGAAAACAGTAGCTACCAGCAGAGGGACAGGCGATTTGTCATTCACACTTGACTGAAATTAATAAAATAAAATAGCTACTCTGAGGGAAAAGGCATGTGGAGGAAAATTCAACATTCCCAGTTCCTAGGAGGAAAAAACCCCGGCATCAGTTCCCTGTTCTAAAACAGCACAGGCCTCAAAATGGCTTTTGAGGACAAAACCTGACACCAGGACATTCCCAACCACTAAAGCACATTAAAATGCAGTTACACCACCACCACGCTCCCGGTATGAAACCTTACCTACCCTCGCCCCGGAATCCAATGGCCAAAACAACACCAGGGTGGAAAAATTAGTGAAAGTCAGGGGAGTTCCTGTGCGGTTTCACCACGGTTTGTCCCCACGCAGAGGGAGCCGAGGCCACCTAGCTCTTCCCTCAAGCGCCACAGACAAAAGAGCCACGGCCAGGGGAGGGGGGATGTCCCGAGAACGGGGGGTATTAATTCCCGCATCGCTGTGGTTCAACACGACACGGAGATGAGTTTTCCTATCTTTCTAGGCACGCAGAAAAACAACAGCAGTCGCAGGGCACACACAAAAGCCGCCTGTTCCTCGGCCGCCGCAGCCTGAGGCGATGCCGCCTCTCCCCACCCCCAGCCCGGACCCAGCCGCCCTCCGCCTTCCCTGCGCCGGGCACAGAGACCTGCGGTCCCTCCCCGCCTGCCCGGGGCGCTCGAAAATCGAGCCCGGAAGGAGCCTGAGGCCCGGCGAGGCACAGAACCACGGAACTGTCAGCGTTGTGAGGCACCTCTGGAGATCAGCTCGTCCACGCCCGCCCCTCCGCCTCCTTCCCCGGCAAGGCGGCGAGCCCTCCCGCAGCCCATTGTTCCCTGCACCCCCGCGGATCCGGCGCACTCACCACACGGGCCGGGCCTCCCCGCAGCGCCCAACCGGCCCCTCAGCTCGCACAGAGGCTGAAAACAGCGCCTGCCTGCCTCTCCGCAGTACCCGCGGCCCCGGGCAGCGCCGCCCATCGCCCGCGCCGCCCCGCCGCCGCCGCCTCCAGCCAGCGGCCATCTTTGCTCGCTGCTCCCCTCACCACCTCCTCTCCTTCCCTCCCTCCCCGCATTGCCTCCCCTTCCTGCGCCTCCCCCCCGAGCAGCCGGGCGGGGCAGGGATAAACAGCCGAGCACGGCTGAGCGCGTGAGGGCTGGGCTGGGCAGGGCTGGGCGGGGGAACTGTCACCCAAGGCCGAGAGGGCGTCTGGCGGTCTGTGAGGGCCGGTATACCTCCCCGTTGCCCTCTCGCGCCATTTTGGGGTGGTTTTCGCTCTGTCACCTCATCTTCTCATTGCTAGCGGGCTCAGACGGGCATCGGGGTGGAGGTCGCGGCTCTTCACACGCCGAGTGCCGCCTGAGGAGTGCTCTGTGTGTTGGGACCCTCCCGAGGGCCCCCGCCCGCCATTTTCTCTCCCTCAGGATGCTCCTGTGTTGGCGAGCGCTGCGGTTCCCCTCATCTTCCCCGCTGCGACTGCCTCACGCCAACACACCTAAGAGCTTGGGGCTGGGTAATTTTCTAACTTAAAGGGAAAATAACACAAATTAAGCTGTTCCCGCTTAGGCGACCGTTCAGGGCAAAGCCCTCGCCGCTCTGCCCACCAGCCCCAGGGGAAGGAGCAGAGCTGGACTCGCTGCTGGAGAAGGTCCCCCGTAGCTTTATTTGCTGCAGGACCCACTGAAATCATCCTCAGCTTTAACAACACCACAGGTAAGGTGTTTGGGGACCCACCAAGCCTTCCGGTATGGCAGTATCAGAAATAGTTGAAATACTGAAGAAATTTTAAATCCTTGTAAAATGCCTCATAATGACTCGTAGCATTTACTTAGCACGTACCGACTGATAGTTTTAAAATGTTACGAGAGCTAATTATCTGCCATCAGGTTATTTGAAGGTAGCACCGACCTGATGCCCATTTACAAGAATGTGAATATGGTGTAAAATACTAAGGAATTTATCCACGTGTTTTCAAATTAAAGACCAAAAATAGTGTTCAGTGTCCCCGTCTTACTGCCCAGGTGTTTTGTCATGTCTGTGCCCAGATCTGTGGGATCAATCCTGGTGTGAGGCCACTGTGTGGGATGTTGGGTATGGAATCACTGCATTTCTATTTTCAGTTTGTAACACCGTGAGGAGCACACAGTGTATTATCAGTTCAATATCCGAACTGCAGCGTCGCATGAGCTCAAAATACAATTTAAACAGAGCAACGTCAGGTCAGAAGTATCCAGGCCCAGAGCCAGAGACCCAAGACAGCAACGTGCAAAAGGAAGCTGGGTCATGACATCCAGATAGAACATAGAAATAAATCACAGAGCTAAACTCCTACACACAAGGAAAAACTACACAGGGGGAGGTTACTCTTCAGCTCCTACTTCTGACTCTTGCACTGACCACAGACAGATTTTCATGTTAATTTTACAAGAAATGTGATGGTAGTAACTATCCATTTTACTGTAGAAATCATCTCTATTATTTAGGTTTGTCCACCAAAACAAGCCTAGTGCTTATCAAGCCTAAATAACATTATTAAGAACAGCTATTAATTTCTGAAAGCTGGCTTTTCTTACCATATTTTCTTACCACCAGAAGGTAACATATTTACAAATACCACCTTTAACTTAGCAAGAGCCTTAGTGTGAGTTACAAAAGAAGTGTAAATTGGAAGTGTTCAAGGCCAAGTTGGATGGGACTTAGAGCAACCTGGTCTAGTGGAAGGTGTCCATACCTATGGCAGGTGGTTTGGAGCCAGAGGAGCTTTAAGGTGCTTTCCAACCCAAACCATTGTACGATTCTGTGATAAATTGGGAAGTTTAACGTGGAAATGTCAGTCTTAAGCATTATGACTATTTTATTGTTGCTTCAAAAAGATTAACAGGAAAAATTTAAAAATCCACCAAGAGAAATCTAAAACAAGCAATGTAAACATCAGAATCCTTAGTACCATTGTCACAAAATTAAGTAGCTGAATGAACAGTTTAATCAAGAATATTATACTTACCCAGATTTGTAAGTTGGAGATGATCACGCATTAGTACATTATTATATTTTTATCATTATATTGGCATTGTAATACTTTCTGCAATGCCTCAATGAAACCTTCATACTACTTGTTCCTAACGGCTGTATAAATAATGTAAGAGTCTTTGTCCTGAAGCAACATCTTTCATATAACCAACTGGCAAACTGCAGTGTAATTTTTAAAAATTTAAAAAATAAAATTCAAATCTGAATCATTATATGCTTATCTAATCAGTCCTCTATTAAACAGGATCTTTGCACGTTATTCTAGATCAATTTAAGTACTCTCTTCACCCTATTACTCTAATTTAAAACTTTACATACCTGCCAGAGGGCAGGGTTAGATGGGATATTAGGAAGAAATTCCTCCCTGTGTGGGTGGGGAGGCCCTGGCACAGGTTGCCCAGAGAAGCTGTGGCTGCCCCTGGATCCCTGCAAGTGTCCAAGGCCAGGTTGGACGGGGCTTGGAGCAACCTGGGCTAGTGGAAGGTGTCCCTGGCCATGGCAGGGGGTGGAATGAGATAGCCTTTACCAACCCAAACCAGTCTGAGATTCTATACCACAGAAAATTTCCAACCAGCAATAGCCATCCTTTGCAGACGCCTCTCCTAAATGTTACACAGAAATGTGACCCTTGCTGGAGTTATCAGTGTTGTGAGCAGAAGCAGAAGATGGCAGTAGGAGCTAAAATGGCCAGTGTTCTTTAAACCTTGGTTTAAAGTCACAGAAACTAGAAATGGTTAAGGCCTGAGGACATCCTGATACTTCCTAGTTTCTAGCAGGTGGTGTTCTGGTGTTCTGTTCAGTCTGGGTTTTAATAATCCAGTCTGGAGACTTCTGCCACTTTCTATACTTGGTTCCTGTGTATTGTTCCTGTATTGTGGAAAGCTTTTAGTTTTCAGGTAGTTTATGTTTTCCCTCAGCATTTAATTCCATCACCAGTAACACGCTAACAATAATTTGCAGTATTACAACATAGGGTACTGCAGCTGTTGAAATTTAAAGAAGTGGGACCTGAAATGGCCTATGGTTCTTATTATGTAACACTACACCTTTAATTCTCAAACCCATTTTACACCTCCATCAGTCATACTTTTCTAATACTTCTAATGCCTTTTCTTTATTCTGTTTTCTAAAAGTTCAGAAATTTGTAGGTGAGCTTGTTCTCTCCTCGGGAGCTGCTCCCATGAGGTATCTAGATTAGTTTTAATGTCCGCTTTCCCCAGTTACACAGCATTTCTTCCTGCATGACATGCTTAAAAACCCACAGGAGTTAGTTTGATTCTACCACATATAGTCTAAATTTTAAATTCCTTTTTTTCTTTTGTTTTTCCATCCAAGAGGGGATAATGTGTAGGCATGGTTCTAGGATTTGACATTTGTGGCCACTCTAGTAATGTTCTTCAGATTATGCCTTAAAAATGACTCCTCATTTTAGCCGGTATGACCGAGAGAAATAGGTAAAATACCAGTGTAACTGTCGAATGGTGTCATCTCACCATTCAATTTTTATACTGCTCTTTCATATAAAACTGATATAGAATTGTGCTACCAGAATAGCTGTCTTTATAAAAAAATACATATTTTAAAAATGTGTTGGCAGTGTTTCACTTTGCTGTTTTAGTTACCAACGTGAGCAGTAAAGCTGATAATAATGGAAAAATTCTCATTTTGAAACCTGTGATATCAGAATGAAAGACAAGGATGACGTATTTTTCCAGGTGGCTGCAAGTATGTAAAAAATGCCCTTGTTAATTCACACAGCCAAGATGTGTGAATGTAAACTACCAAGCATGTAAACCACAGATAACAAAAAAGAAAATCTTTAGCACTTGTATGTGCTTGACCATCTCGTTAACAAAACCTAAATTCCTGCACTTTTATAAAATTCCACTGACAAAAGCAGAAGACCATATCTGTCCAATGTAATCATTTCAAAAAATTCCAGTATTTATTAAAGAGTATGCTGAATATCATCCAAGCCCATGGGATGCAGATGCAACTATTAGAGGTTGTTATATGTGCTTATTTGAAAACAAGAGGATGGTAGCAAAGTAGAGCCTTCCTCTGTGGAAGGACATATTCAGTGTCTCCACCATAAGAGGCAAGATTTAGATCTCCTTTGTGCAAGAGAATCCTGAAGGATCTACAGGAATGTAAAGTGCATATATGTAAAATCAGAGTTCCTCCATGACTGCTTCTCTCCCAAACATTCAATTTGCAAACCTGCCAAACATCTCATTGAAA